AACAAATGAGCAAAGTTTGTTTCACCCTGATGCCCCTGTTAACTAGCAGTAAATAGGTACCTGGGAGTTAGATAGCTGTTACGGGCTCCTTCCTGGTGTATGTGTTGTACTCACCTAGTTGTGCTTGCGAGGGTTGAGCTCTGGCTCTTTGGTCCCGGCTCTCAATCGTCAGTCAACAGGTGTACAGGTTCCTGAGCCTATTGGTGTGTGTGTGTGTGTGTGAAAAAAGTTGATTGATTGACAGTTGAGAGGCGGGGCGAAAGAGCCAGAGGTCAACCGCCGCCAGCAGAAGTAGGTGAGTAGAGGCAGCTCTGACCATGAGCCAGGCACTGAGCGCTACACGCCACGCACATTTAGCACAACACACACCAGAATACCAACAAGGTATTTTATTATTGAGAAAGTGAGGGTGGGCGCGGGACGGTGTCCTGGCAGCCTCTGACAAAGGGGAAAAATATCCCTCTCCTGATTCTTGCTCTCTTATTTCCCTTAATATTTGTGAATATCTTTGGCGGGTCGTATTCCAGAGAAAATTAGGATTATGACCTGCTTGAAACGCTATGCGTGTTAATGGCCGTACAAGAAGTAACGTAACTTCGCTTAACGAAGCGGAAATATGGGCAGCTGACAATTCCGTATATTGCTATTAATTTACGCTTAATGTTCTTCACTTTCTAGGTATTGTTATTCACTTACCGGGTGTTATTGTTCACTTATTACTGTTCAGATAGTTTTGCACTTAAGACACTCGCTGTAGTAAGCCCATGAAGCAGCAACAGTGCTCTCATCTGATTAAGTTGGATTCACATTTTGAAAGATGTTAATGAATTGGGATTAGCGTGTTGCGAGGTAATTGCATGTCTCACTCCCAGCACTTCCCTGATTACTGCAGGCAGGAACTGACTCTCCTGCGTGTACCTTACTTTTTTCTAATGTTAAATACTGTTCAGTACGTTGAAGAATGCTGTAAGTTTAATAATACCTTAGTTATGGATGAGACTTCCGTCTGTGGTCAGAGTTTCTCTTTACTAGAGGACCAGATCTTGACCACAGTTTCCACATCTCTGAGAAAACTTGTTCCCTCTAGTCACAGTGTTCAAGTGTAACGTCAACGCCATGTTGAATCAACGCAGTATCAATGCAATCAACGTTGAATCAACATTGTCAACGTTGAAATAATTGGAGCCTAGGAAAAGTTAGGTTTGGAGAAGGAAACGCCCGTTTTTACAAAATGATATGTTCAGGACTTTTGTGTGTGAGCTGTACTCCATATTTTCTAATATCATCCATAGTAAGAATATGTCATATCATTTTAGGATGACAGGTTATATATTTTTATGTGAGGATGTGAGACTTTGTGTACTTTAGGTACTTTTGGTGTCTGAACGTGTGTGTGTATTTGTGTACTCATCTAGTTGTGCTTGCGGGGGTAGAGCTCTGGCTCTTTGGTCCCGCCTCTTAACTGTCAATCAACTGATGTATAGATTCCTGAGCCTTTTGGGCTCTATCATATTTACATTTGAAACTTTTTATGGAGTCAGCCTCCACCACATCACTGCCTAATGCATTCCATCTATTTACTACTCTGACACTGAAAAAGTTCTTTCAAACGTCCCTGTGGCTCATTTGGGTACTCAGTTTCCAACTGTGTCCCCTTGTTCGCGTACCACACGTGTTAAACAGTTCATCTTTATCTACCCTGACAAGTCCTCTGAGCATTTTGTAGGTAGTGATCATGTCTCCTCTTACTCTTTTGTCTTCCAGTGTCGTGAGATGCATTTCCCGCAGTCTTTCCTCGTAACTCATGCCTCTTAGTTCTGGGACTAGCCTAGTGGCAAACCTCTTAACTTTTTGCAGCTTCGTCTTTTGCTTGACAAGGTACGGGCTCCATGCTGGGGCCGCATACTCCAGGATTGGTCTTACATATGTGGTGTACAAGATTCACGGTTCAAGGTTCAAGGTGTGGTATATGTATATGTATATACACAAATACAAGGTGTGTATTAACCTATTTGTGCTTACGGGGGTTGAGTTCTGCTCTTTCGCCCCGCTCTCAACTGTCGATCAATCAACTGTTACTAACTACTTACTAATTTTTTATTCCCCGCCTCCCAGGAAGCAGCCAGTAACAGCTGTCTAAATCCCAGGTACCTATTTACTGCTAGGTAACAGGGACATCAGGGTGAAAGAAACTGCCCCACTTTGTTTCTGCCATCATCGGGGATCGAATCCGGACCATAGGATTACGAGTCCAATGCGCTGTCCACTCAGCTATCAGGCCCCAATTTGTGTTTGTGTGCAATCACATACTTGTGCTTGCGAGATCGAGTTTCATCGAGCCGCGAGATCGTCTAATTACGTCCTTGCGAGATCCAGCCGCTGATTGTCCAATGCTGTTACTCCAAACCTACATATCGTATATACTTTTAATATTGTGGATGAAGTTGACTTTATTATCACCTTGATTTATTTAATAAATATCCCTACTCCTCTAACATAAGATGTAAGACAATAAGTATTGTCTTACATCTCTCGCTCATCTGAGTCTATAATTTCTATCCATATCCTCCTGTTGTTTTCGGCATGCATTATAAATTATCTTTTCCACAGCCAATTTCCCTCAGCTTTTTTATACGGCTCTATGACGTCTCTTCCACTTTAGCGTCGTCAGGTCTAGATCTTTCAGCATTTCTTCGCATCTTACCCACTGTAGTTCTCGGACCAGCCTCGTTACGAACCTCTCTACCATTTCAAGGTTCCATTGGTGCTTTTTGAGATGGAGACACGTCGTCGGGAATGTCTATAGTCTCTTGTTCTGAATGTCTCCCTACTAAGGTTCCTGGAGACTGTTGTAATGTGTGACAGGTTCGAGTATGCGTGGGAAAATGTAACTAAAAACGGAAGTCAGTCTAGTCGAAGGTTGTGCTATGGTCGCGGTATCCGAGGCAGCGTGTGTAAGTTAGTCTACATGAAAGTGCTCACGAGGGATTGTTAAGAGTTGGATGTAAACGGTGGTTGTCAATGACCAGCCACGTAGGATGGGAGGGAGGGGGGGGGTAGAGTGTACTGAGGGGGCGCTAGTGAGGTATACAAGAGGGGAATTTTAGTGCGGGTAAAGTAAGACATTGTATTTAGCCCAGATAATTTCTCAGGTGAGGTCAGATGGACTGCAGTGAATAGAATTTAGGCACACTGAGTTAGGTGGAATGCATTTGGTTAATTAAAATATTCTTGAATTTAATTTAATCTTGAGCAACAACAGATTCTTTTCTATGAATTCTTAATGCAATTACTCTGACTTTTACCAAGAAATGGAGAAAATCTGGGAAGCAAAAGCAAAGATGTAATTACCAAAGTTTCTTGTCTAAACTGCTAAAGTTCACATGTTCTTATTTCAGTGTTTCTCGGTCTTATTGTACCAACTCTTGTATATAAATAGTAATGATAAGAAATTTATGCCAGAGTGATTCCATCTATTTAATTGTTAATGAAGAACCCATACCACCACCCCTTCATAATACCACAACTTGCTCTCCTATAATACCACTCCCTCCCCCTCCCCCCCCCCGGTACCTGCAGTAGTGTGAAGTATACCTATGCCATGCAGGTTCATTCGTAGAGCTGCACGTCAAAGGTGAACTTTCATTTCCGGTAAACCTCAGCAGCTGCACGTCGTATGTGTACTTTGTTTTCCGTTTTTTATCCCAGCAGCTGGTATGAACTCGTGTTGTTTCTGTCACTTTATTTTGTTGCCAAAAGTGGGCGCCATTCCTCAACTTTTCAGTTCCCTTGTCCAAACAACCCCAGTATTATTTTTTCAGGGTCCAGTTAATTAAATGCTTAATAGCACCAAATACACGTGTTTCAGAGTCTAGTCTAAGATTGTTTATTGAATATAAGAATAAGGAAATCACAGATCTATTGGTCCATAGATATCAGCATCCCCCAGTTATCCACATTATATAATATATATATATGTCGTACCTAGTAGCCAGAACTCACTTCTCAGCCTACTATGCAAGGCCTGATTTGCCTAATAAGCCTAGTTTTCATGAATTAATGTTTTTTCGACAACCTAACCTACCTAACCTAACCTAACCTAACGTTTTCGGCTACCTAACCTAACCTAACGTTTTCGGCTACCTAACCTAACCTAACCTATAGAGATAGGTTAGGTTAGGTGGGGTTGGTTAGGTTCGGTCATATATCTACGTTAATTTTAACTCCAATAAAAAAAAATTGACCTCATACATAATGAAATGGGTAGCTTTATCATTTCATAAGAAAAAAATTAGAGAAAATATATTAATTCAGGAAAACTTGGCTTATTAGGCATATCGGGCCTTGCATAGTAGGCTGAGAAGTGCGTTCTGGCTACTAGGTACGACATATATATATATATATATATATATATATATATATATATATATATCACACACATGACACACGATACATTTGCATAAACCATAAGTTATATGTAACCAAAGAACTCCTCGTGAAGGATTCGAACCTTAGAAACCTAGGTGCATCAAAGACATCCACTGCACCAAAATGTGTTTGCTTACACAAAAGGCGTTGGAACCACAAAATGCCTTAACTCTCTCCTGGATCAAATCAATGACAAACCAGGAATCCTTATTTTCTGGACGAAGAGCTAGCCAATGCTACAGCTACACTGTACTGCCCAGTGGATAAAGAAATCAAAGGTTTCCTTTATCACAGTGGATAAAGGAAATCAAATTGCCTTTGCCAATCTCGCTTTGGCAAAGGCACGCTCTTGCCTTTGCCAAAGGGAGCCTGTTTAACCGAAAACCACTGCTAATGTTCAAATTACATGATTTTGTAATCTGTATTAAAGCAGATTCAAAAATGTTCCTATTGAAAATGATTTTACAATTCGTTATTGAAGACGAGATCTCCCAATCAATTTGGCAAGAACTTTCTAACAATTGAACAAAGAAAGCAAGACATAGCCAATTGTCTAATGCGTTGTTCATTTGTCAGAAAGTTCTCTCCAAATTGACTGGGAGAGGGCTTCTTCGAATTGTAAAACCATTTTCAATAGGATCATTATTGGATCTGTTTTAAATACAATATACAAAATCATGTAATTTAAACATTAGCAGTGGTTGGTATAATTTAGATCCATTTTGTATTGATCAATTAAAGGGCGATTGGAGTAGGATCATTGAGACACATTTATCTCACTAATACCTTATTACTATCCCATTATCTCATTAAAGACATTACACCTCACCTCTCCTTTTTCCAGCCTATATATCCACACCACTGAACTGTAAATCCATCCTTCTGAAGATGTATTATTAAATACAAAAGTACTTTAGGAAATTCCTGTCTCAATCATTAATCCTTCGTGGTCTGACTATCTTTAGATAAATATTTATTGATATTTATATATATGAAAATCATTTTGAGGCAATGGAGTGACTTGAACTCCCGATCTGGTGATTCTCAGAGGCCTGTCTTAACTGACTTTGCCAGGATGGTACAAAAGTTGACCAACCCAGAACTCTACGGAGTTCTCTGGGAGGTTCTGGAGGCCCCAAACCTGGGCCCAACCAGGATTTTACAGCCAACCCAACCACACTTGGGCCTACAGTAATGGCGTTCACACTCTTAATCCTCTGTCTGATAGCATAGGGACGTCCCCTGTCAGATCGCACACTCGCCGTCCCTTGTTATGGTGAGTGTGGTCAGGTTGGCTGTAAGATACTGGTGGGGCCCACAACTGGGCCTCCAGAACCTTCCAGAGAACTCAGTAGTTCTGGGTAGGTCACCTTTTGTACAACCGTGGCCGAGTCAGTTAAGGCAGGATAATTGTTGTCATTCACCTTAGTAATTTATCAGACCTTGCAATTATATTTTGTTCTATTTATTCATTAGTCTAGTCCATAAGAAATATTTATGCATACATTTTAGCAACTATGATATAAATTTACACTCCGCACATCTCTAGAGGAGGTTGAGAATAGACATTGGATCCATTGCTCAGGTCGCATTGAAATCTCGCATATGAAACCCCATATTTCTGTTTACGATCATTTCAACAGCATCATATATGTAGTGTTATTGTTGAGTTCACCTAAAATGTCTGGCCAAATGTTCCATAATTTCATCGGAAGTTATCGAACAATTAGCAACGCAGCTGGTTAGCCCACTACTTTGTTGATAGGTTAATCAGTATCAAATGTATTAAATTGCACACGCGCACACGCACACACACACACACACACACACACACAGGGGCCTCGTAGTCTGGTGGATACCGCGCAGGACTCGTAATTCTGTGGCGCGAGTTCGATTCCCGCACGAGGCAGAAACAAATGGGCAAAGTTTCTTTCACCCTGAATGCCCCTGTTACCTAGCAGTAAATAGGTACCTGGGAGTTAGTCAGCTGTCACGGGCTGCTTCCTGGTGTGTGTGTGTGTGTGTGGTGTGGAAAAAAAAGTAGTTAGTAAACAGTTGATTGACAGTTGAGAGGTGGGCCGAAAGAGCAAAGCTCAACCCCCGCAAACACAACAAGGTGAATACACACACAGGAGGCAGGAGTCACACTACAGCAGGCTCCAGGAATATCAAATTGCGCCAGTATTGGGAACAGGTTGAGGGCTGCAAGTGGTGTCCCAGGTTACATAAAGGTGTAGGCAAGTTTTAACAGTAACTAAGATACAAGTAATATGTGAATGGGTGACAATTCTATGTTGGAAAAGTTTATATTCCACAACATACAATCGTCAATACTATCGACAAACTTTGGTCAATAAGACTAGACCTCTCAAAGGAAGACAGAAAAAAACTGAAAACAAACCTCGATGAAGCGAAACGTCTAACTGGGGATAGAAATGATGAATTTTTTTCCACAGTGTTAGGGCTGGAAAACTAGTGAAATGCTACACAACAACAAAGTAACAAAATCATTAGAGGCAGGGGAGTAAAGGACAAAGAGAAAGGGGAACATGTTTCTGAAAATTGTATATACCAACATAAATGGAGTGAGATTAAAAATATTGAAACTAAAAGGTATAATTCATCGTAAGGTCCCAGATATAGTCACACTAACAGAGACGACATTTGAATAAAATATTGTAAATGAGGTCATATTCCCAAGGGGCTACTCAGTTTGGAGACGTGACAGGAATACTAGGAAGGGGGAAGGAGTGGCTGTGCTGGTGAAAGAACACCTGAAGGTAAGAGAGTTAATAAGCCACAATTCTCGAGAAGTTGACATATTGATATTGCAGGTCTGGAACTGGGATGATAAACTGATAATTGTAAAGGCCTACAACCCACCAGCAAACGAACATGGACTTAGGAGGAACTGGATGACAAATGAGAGGGCCTCATAATGGTCATTGAGAGAGATTATAGTAAAAGCAGATGAAGATAAATCATGATTGTTGGTACTGGGGGACTTCAACTTGAAAGCAATAGACTGGGAGGCCTACAAAGCTAGAACGGAGGACATTTGGACAGGCAGATTTGTAACCCTCATTCTGGAGACATTCATGTATCAACACGTCAAGCAGGCCACAAGAATGAGGGAAGGAGATGTACCGTCAGTACTGGATCTAATATTCACCAGGAAAGAAGATATATTTGACATCCAGTACCTTCCTCCCTTGTGAAAGAGTGATCATGTCCTGTTGGAAATTAAATATGCTTTGAGATATAATCTAGAAGAGAATGGGCGATTGAAACAGTTGATAAATTCGATTTCAAGAGTGGACGCTATGGGGAACTTAGTAAATTCTTTAATGAATTTAATTGGACAGACGTGTTGCTAGGCAAGGAAGTAAATGAGATGTATGCCAAATTTTGCAAAATATACGATGAAGGCACACAAACAGTCATAGTAAAACAGAGATGCAGGGCCGGAAAACAGGATTGGTTTAACATAAATTGTGAGAGGACCAAACAGGAAAAGACAAGAAAATGGTTAAATATTAAAGAGGTTTAAACCGCTAATATACCAGCACTATAAACAAGCAAGAAACAATTACACAGCGGTCAGAAGAGAGACAAAAAAGTAACTTTGAGAAAGGTATAGCGGACAAATGTAAAACAGATCCAGACCTTTTCTCTAAATTCATAAAAAGCAAGATGCATGTAAAAGATAAAATCCAGAGATTGAGAACGTGGAACATAACTACTGAGAATGAAAAAGAAATGCGTGAAATGCTAAATGAACAGTTCCAAAGTGTGTTTGTACAAAATGAGGCTTTCAGAAAGTCGAACCAAATACCAATTCCAGAGCACGCCACAGACATCGAGGTATCTCAAGACGAAGTGAAAAATTACTCAAGGGGTCAGGAAGAAATAAAGCGGTTGGACCTGATGGAGTTTCACCTTGGGTGCTTCGAGAATGTGCCACTGAGCTGAGCATTCCACTGCAGTTAATATTCCAGACCTTCTTGTGCACATTCAAGACCTGCTAGGCTTCTTGTGAATCCTAGCAGATATATGGGAAAAGGCAAACATAGTACTAATCTATAAAAATTGTAGTCGAGAGGAATCTCTTATTTATTGACTCGTATCATTAACAAGCGTGGTAGTCACGCTTGTTAATGAACACTAGAAAAATTAGTTAAAGCCAAATGGGTTGAACACCTAGAGAGTAATAACACAATAACAGATAGTATGGTTAACGAACTGGAAGATCATGTGTGTAACAAATCTACTTAGTTTTGATGATAGAGCCACAGAGATACTACAGGAAAGAGGTGGTTGGATTGACTGTGTCTATCTGGACTTAAAACACGCTTTTGATAGTCCCACACAAGAGGCAGTTCTGGAAACTGGAACATGCTGGAGGAGTGACAGGGAGACTTCTGACATGGATGACTTCAGACTTCTGACTTCTTCTAACCATATAAGAAGGAAAATGACAGTGAACGACCAAGTGACCAGGTTACGAAAAAGGGTGAGGCCAATATACAGAAAATAATAAAGAAATTTGTGAAGAGTTCAATGCCAGCTTCCACGGAGTGTTTACTACTGAGCCTGAACAGATCCCGGAGCTAGTTGAAGAAGCAGCCCGCGAAGAGAAACTTCTAAATATTTAGGTAACAACGGAGGAAGAATACAACTAGCATTACTGGATGTAGCTAAAGCTACTGCGCCTGATAGAGTATCACCGTGGCTGCTAAAAGCAGCAGCTCGGGCCCTCAGCATACCTCCAGCGCTCATCTTTAATGAGTCCCTTACAAGGAGAGGTATCGCCCAGTTGCAGGAAGAAGGGTTATGTGGTGCCAAGAAACAAGATACAGAAGTACTTAACTACAGACCAGTCTAGTGTCACTGACAAGTATCCCATGCAAAGTACTTGAAATTATTATAAGGTTAAGACAAGTTACGCACCTAGAAAGAATTGAGTTTGTAAGTAAACAACAACATGCCTTTAAAGAAGGGAAATCATGCCTGACGAACCTCCTGGAGTTTTATGATAAGGTAACGAAAACAAGGCAAGACAGAGAAGGATGGGCAGATTGCATTTTTCTGGACTGCCAAAAAGCCTTTGATACAGTACCACATGCAGGAGGTTACTATACAAACTTGAGAGGAAGTTGGAAGTAGCGGCAACGCATTAACATGGGTAAGGAATTACGTAACGGACAGGTGTCAGAGAGTGACAGTGAGGGGCGAGGAGTCCGACTGGCGTAGAGTAACAAGCGGGGTGCCTCAAGGAGCGGTGTTGGGACCCATTATATTCTTCATTTATGTAAACGACTTGACTACAGAAGTTCAGTCTTATTTGTCAATGTTTGCAGATGATGCAAAACTTATGAGGAGGATTGAGACAAATGAGGATTGCAAGATTCTCCAAGATGACTTGAACAGGTCGCAGAGCTGGTCCGAAAATGACTACTAGAGTTCAACACCAGCAAGTGTAAGGTGATGGAAATGGGATCAGGAGCCAGGAGACCGATACATGATGAAGGGAAACCACCTCCCTATAATGACTAGAGAAAAGGATCTGGGAGTGGACATAACCCCAAACCTAACTCCACAGGTTCACACAAATAGAAAAACGTCAGCCGCATATTCTACGATGGAAAAAG